ACCTCGGACAAGAAAGCAGTATCGATGGAAACAGTATCAGAAACTGAGCTTCACAAACCCACTACCAAGTCTAATAATAATATGGAGAAAAATAAGTTGTTCATTTTTCAATATTGTTCAGCTATTTAGCGGTTATTTCCGTCACGTGATGGCAGCCATGTTTGATGAAAAGGCATAAGAATGAAAGCAATTTCTTTTTTTTTTTAAAAGACTCTGTTTTTCGAGCATGCATCAAATATATCCCTGTTAAATACTGTTAAAGTGCACCTTTACGATTTTTTTAATCTATAAAACAATTCTTATGAAGCTTAAAATAATTTCTGTGTTGGTTTGGTGATTTTTCTTGTAAACGGTTGGGACGGAATCGAAAAATAAAGCCAAAATTAAGTGTTCCAAATTATTTTGTCCGAGAGGGGACTGGCGCAACTCTTGTGAAGTCATCCCAGGCCATAAGTTCGGTCGCAAAAGACTAACTGCCTTATACAAGAGTAGTTTACCCTGCCTATATAGCGGGATTTGTGGGGAAGGGGTGGTACGATCCACATTCTTGGACCGATAATCCGATTATAGGAATGAGGGCAAGTTTCAACTTGTTGTCCAGGGACGTAATCCGATAGATTACAGAAACCTCGTGTTTACGTAAAGAATCCGATTAGTCTCATCTACTATCACTTTTCTAAATAATTTTCTCCTTTGCAGTCAGAAACATACCATATCATGTCACGGTACCGTAAGGATTGTCCCTTACCTGGCTGCGGAGCGATTGCATTAGTAAAATTATCAAATCATTTAAGTCAAGTCCACCAACTTTCACCAGAAGAACGCAAGCCTTACTTACAACAAGCAAAACTTCGAAAGTATAGAATATCAAAACCATTACGTAAACGTTGGATACCTTTTACGGAAAATATTCATAAAATTTAACCAAGCCTGCTATTATAATACTATAAAAGCAAGACTGCTAAAGGTGAAAGAAAAACTAAACTTCTATTGTACGGCAATACATCATGTCTTATTCTGGAGATGAACAGTTGAATTCAGAAGCCAGTCACGTCAMAAATCAATCKTCRACMGATGATGAAAGTGACAGCATGTCTGATTCTCAAGGATCAGATGAATCTGACTCCTCGCACTTGAGCAGTGACGAAGACGATGACGATGACAGCGGCAATTGGGAACGAATTCAAGATGAAGCAAGAGAGCGTCACAGAAACAAATTTGAAACACTAGTTCGTCATTATGAGCAAGAAGGGGAGAGTCACGAGGTTGCTGAAGCTAAAGCAGAAAATGATTTACTCCCAACATACAGAAAAGAGTTTCGTAAAGTACTGTTTGAGTATCTTAAGTGGATACATGATTTAAGGAAAAACTACATTTTTCGCCAAATTATGAAAACAAAGCAAGATTTAATGGATGTGGATGGGTTTCAATGGGAAGAGGCAATGGAGGCAGCTATTCACAAACGAAAGTTTATGCTCAATAAACTATTTCAA